CTATTAATACAGTATCAGAATCACGAGAATTATTGATAAATAAATTCGCAGATAATTTAAAACTAAAATCAATGCAGTAACTGAAAATAAAATTAGTCTATCCAACTGTTGAGAATATTCACAATAGGTAAATTTTTTTAATTTTTTAGTTATTTACATATTTAAAATCAGTTAACTATATTATTTGCATTTTATAACAAGTTTGCAGTTAGTCAAGCATTATCTTTTAGTCATAAAAATTATTTAAAACAAAAATATTACATGTATAAATGGAAGGCAATTGAAGTTGAAAGAGATCGTGATTTATTATAAATAGTTTTAAATTTTTTGAATAAAAATGATGCTGAATTTGTTAACAAATAATTCAAATTTGAATGCAGATATTTTATTGACTAATAGCAATTTATCCAAAGCTGCATGAGCAGTTTATAAAAGAAAGACAAATAATTGATAATACATAATTACAAGTTATATTAATCTTTTTAGAATTATTTTATATAAATTTTCAAAGGTAAGACTTTTATTCTTTTTTTAAAACATTATACATTAAATTTTTTTCATTTACTTTCTTAAAAAGTTGAATTTACTTTGATACTTCTATAAGTAAATCTCATAGATGATGCTTTTGATCTTGACGAAAATGAACCTATACTCGAACTTATATGTTCTCATCTTTAAATCAATTATGAATTTTTCTTAATTGTGATTTGTTAAGGTATTTCTTAACATTGATAATAAATTTATTAACATTATTATTTTAGGCTGACATTAGTATTATAAATGGTATAATTGTTAGTATAGATAAAGCTGGTAATTCTGATGTGATAGAAAATATTACTTCTAATCTTATTGTTAGTTTTACAGAAGCTCTTATTAATAAAGATTATATCTTTACAGTTAGTGTAATTGATGCTTACGTTCATTTTATTTTTTCACAACTTATTCTAGATATTTGATATTTAAAAAAAACTTTTTTATTCTTTCTATATTTCAATTACTCTTTAACTTTAATTTATTATGTTTCTTACACTATCTTATTAGGTATTATGACTTTAGTTAGAAGAGGTACTGGCTTAAATACTGATACAAATACTTGTATAAATACTACAATTTGTATGTCAAAAAAATCATATATCAAGATGATGCTTACCATTACCTGACACCTTTTTAAATAATTAACTAAAAAAACTATTTATCTACCTTAATGTAAACTTTTAAAATACTGACATCCTTATAAATCATAAAAAAAATCTATTTTTACATTAAAAATGTTTCTTAACACAGCCAAATTTTAAAAATTCTAATTACTTATCTCTGTTAATAATTTTTGGTTGGCATCCCTACAAATTAAGAAAAAAAAGTTTTAGGTTTTAAAAAAAAATACAATAATTACCTTTAATATTTAGTTTTTAGTTCATCTAAATTTCTAAGCTGATATCATTACAATAGAAAAAAGTCAACTCGTCAGTTATCAGTATTATAGATGAGAGACGAAACCCCTTAATAATAGTCAAAACTTAGAGATGAAACTATATTAAAATCATAATAAGGGATACGACGAAATCCATTCGATACAACGAAAGCTGAAACTGTCAAAACTATATTAAAAATATAGAAAAGGGTATGACGAAATTATTTTGAGAAGGTTTTGGCAGGTACTGTATCTATAATCAGTATACTAGCATCCCTATAATAGAAAAAAATGTGTTCTATTAATAAATAAATATGTGTTATTTTTATTATAACACTATTTTAGTACTGCAGATTGTTAATCTGTTTACATGTGATTAAAACTTTCAAATTCAATTATCTCAAAATTACATTTATTAAAGTTTCTGACCTTTTTACTACAAAGCGCTGTTAATGTTATTTTTTCTATTGAATAAGTTAACTATGATTTGAAGTCAAAGAGATGATAGTTATGACTTAAATTCAATCAACTTAACACGCTGTTTATTAGAGAGTTTATTTAGTTAACAAGAATAAAATTATAAATTTTAGGTTTGCAAAATGTTAATATTATTTATTATTATTGTTAAATGTATATTGAATATAATGTTAGGATCTGTCCTTTTCCCAAGGAATTTTTATACCCTTTATATAAAAAAATTATAATTAAGAAAATCTATAGTAGTTATAATACTATTAATAATAATAACAGAGCTAACAGATATGCTAATTATGTTAAATATGAAATAAATAATAATAATGATAAATATGATAAAAATAATATAAATTATAAATATGTCATATTTAGCAGATATGTCATATTTATAGCTCTGAATGGTTCAGATTAATCCGAAAATTTTCAGTTCAGATCAACTTCGGTTCAGTTTCGGATTGCAAAAATTTCAATCCAAAAATTTTCGGTTCAGTTCAGATTTTTTTCAGATTATAAATCTAATCCAAACCGAAAAAAATCTGAACTGAACTAAAAATTTCAGATTAATCTGAAATTTTTGGTTCAGTTCGGATTTTTACTGGTTTATGGTTCAGTTCAGTTTCAGATTGACATTTTTAAAATTTATAATCCGAACTGAACTGAACTGAAATTTTCAGATCAGTTTCAGATTGGCCTATAATCTAGACCGAACTGAACCGTTCAGAGCATTAGTCATATTTGGTATATATATCATATTTGACAAGTTTATTAGTTTTTGTCAGTTTTAGCGTCTATATTCTAATATATATCTATAATATTATCGCACATTTTCTTTTTTTTTTAATAAAATGATTAAATGCAACTGGAGTAAATTTAATCTTTTATCTTTAGAAATATTTATTAATATATTAGTAAAGTTCTATAAGTATTTCTTAAGTATATTAATTAATTAATAAACTAATAATATGTTTGAAAGATTCTAAAAAAAGTTTTCAAGTATAACATCTGAATTTTTAAACTTAAAATTAATTTACTCATTCTTATTTTTAAAAGTAAAAGAATGTTTTTTTATCACTTTTTAATATTATAAAAATGTTTAAATTCTTTATCGCTTCTTGATTTTTTAAATAATAAGGTTTTTTGATAATTCTTTTTAAGATAAATTATAACTGGAATATTCTAATTCAAATTTGTATACATAATTAACCTTCTTAGACTTCTTTTTTAAGATATTTATTTTTTATATAACCAGTCTTTTTACAATTTATGCAATATCAAGTAGTATTATTAAGTTTACTAGATTTTTTTAAAGTACCCTTTATGGTATATATTTATTTATTTGAGCAAATTTTTTAAAATGGATTCTTTTGAATATATATATATTCATATCTCAATCTTTTTATAAGCTCTTTATAAACATAAACTTTTAATACTATATAATTTTTTGAAACGCTTGTATAATCTAAATCTTTTACAAGTTATATTTAATTTTCTTCTACTTTATTAATTTATATATAGTTTAATAGGAAGATATTATTAAAATAAAACTTATTTATTTTATAATTTATCTTATTTTCTAATTAAATTCTATGTAATTCTGTAAAGAAAGTATTTAAATTAGCCGAATTAACTTATTTAAATCTCATTTTTATATATATTGAAATATATACTTATAAAAATAAGATAATACTTCTGTAAAAGAAATACCTTATATATACAATCTTTAGTGAAAAGAATGATAAAGACAGTTTTGATGATATATATAAACTTTATTTTTAATGATTACTTTTTTATTTAAAAGAATAATACTAATAGAACATTTTTAAAATTAATTAATATTTTATATGTCTTCCTTCTCATCAATACATATTTAAATCTGATTCAATATGTTATTAATATACTAAAATAATATACCATCATCGAAATCATCCTATTTCTATCAAATTGTATTAAGAAAAATATCATAGATAATTTTTTTTTACCATCATATTCTAAACCTTTTCTCTACTTTTTCTTTTAATATAATTTATATATTTTCAATAGGCTCAAGTTTAGGTTATACAAAGATCAAAAAAGAACTTTTCTCAAAAGAAATTTTTTCAAGTCACTTTAAATGTTATATGAGGTATATTTTAGATTATTATCTTATTAGAAGATCTAGTTACGACTAAGTAATATTATCATATTATTATATAAATGATCATCTAAGATATTTTGATATAAATAATAGTTCAAATTTTCAGTAAACAAATAAATGCTAACTTTTTTTTAAATGCTAATTACTACCTAAACATAAACTTTAAACTGATGCTTTATCATAAAATTAACTGCTTATGCATAATAAAATCATGCACAAATAGTATTTCTAAACATCTAAAATGTTATTTTATCAAAAAAAATCTTTCTTCTAGTTGTAATGCAAATTATCACATGACTAAAAAACTACCCTTTCTATATAAAATATCTCTTAAGGTTTTAGGCCAAAATTTTATAAAAGATCTAGGTAGTTTACATAGGAATATTTTATTTTTAATTGAAAATAGCTATAAAACCATATAAATCATGTAATTATCATTATAATATTTATTTATCAAATACAAAATTTTATATAGATTTTTATTATTTATTTAAACATTAATAAAATTAATTTTATTAATTTTCTTCTTGAAATTTATTATTTTCAATTAACTCATTATTATTTTTCTTATCTACTATAAAACTATTATATTAAAAATTATGTTATCTTCAAAACCATCAATTTTAACTAAAATGCTACAATATTTAAATGATCAACAAATTAAATTTATATTAATTTTTTCCTATACATCTTTTACCCATAAATATATTAAAGAATATAAAGGTTTTTTAATACATTCAGATAAAGTTAACTTATAAATTTCATTTGTCATTTACTTATTATAAAATTTGCAAATCTATTAAATTAAATATCATCAGTAGAAATATCATACTCTGATTATAGGAGTTATACAAATTAGTAAATTTATTTATATTGCTGATCATTTTCTTATAATAAAATATACTGCTAAATTTCATTAAATCATATTTAAGTCCTTATTTCTTTCTTTGTAACAGTTTATTTACATATAATAAATGCTAAATGGCAGGTTCAAAAGAAGGTTAGTTAATATGTTATTAGAGTGATATTTATAAATTTGTTCCATTTAATCTGAAACCTATAGTAATGATTTACAGTTATTTAATATTATAGAAATTGCAGCTTTAAACTTTAATGATGATACTACTTCTATATATTTTTCAAATTCACCCTTACATTGTGAAACTCATAGTATTTTAACTAATGACATTTATGAAGACTCTATAAATAGAGATGATGTTTCGCTTGAGCTGATTCCTATTAATTTTCTTTATGAATACAAAGAATATGAATCAAGTTCTAAGTTTAATTTTTTTTCTCTTCAATCTCATAAAGATTTATTTCAAAAAATGATAGAATCAATAGTAGATAATTAGCATATATACAAATGTATTTTTTTGTGTAAATAATTAACATTAATTATATTACTTTTTTAAAAAATAATAATGATGATAACAGTATTACCGAATATAACTTTGATAAAATAGAGAAGGATTTAGACGATTGTGCTATTAAAAAAAATCAGAATCTTTATGATAATGATAACGAAGAAGAAACTAATAAAATAATTGAATGTGATAAGCATAATATAACAAAAATAACAGAAAAAATTAATAATAATAAAGTTAACATTGACTTTTCTGTTTATTCTTCTATTTCTTTTTTGTTTTCGCTTCTTTCTTCTTTTTCTTCACCTTCTTCATTAATATCTTGTGTAATTATCAATTATGTTAAAGGTACTATTCAAAGATGTAATTCAATATATAAATTACGAAGGTTACATAACCTTTACAAAATATGGCAAATAGATTGAAGTGCAGTTTAACAAGTAAATAATGATTACTCCAAACTAGAAGTTAGTGATTCTCATTTTTTATTTGATCAAAATTAACTTCATAAAAATTTAGATAAACAATTAAAAAAATAAATCTATCTATAATTCAAAAGCGAAGATATATTAGATGTAGAAATTTTATAGAAAAAGAATGTAAAAATTATTTATATTATGATGCGTTAAGAAATTATTTCACTCTTTATCAATGTACTTATGATGATACCAAAAGATCATAATGTATTTGTTATATCTATTATGAAAAATTAGGAAGGCATATTCATAGATATTCAGGATGAGATCAAAGAAAAGATTGTATTAAAAATTAATTGCATAATGAAAAGAACTTGAATTTATTGCACAATAGCTTAACAATATTGCAAAAATAAATGATAAATCAAAAAAAATCATAATCTTGAAAGAAGCAGTCAATTTATTCTTCCTTTTATTTCTCAAGAATCTTTAAGCAATAGTACCATTAATGAAACCCTAATACAACTTATAAGTTTATTTATAATTAGAGTATTGTTTCTTGATACATTTTGGATACAAAAAAATAATTCAAAAAATTGATTAAAAGTGAAAACGAAGTGGAAGATTATTATTCTTTAGGACGCCAAATTGGTATAAAGTTATATAAATTACATAATGAAATAAAGGAAAATAAAGAATTATTGGAATTACCAATATTAATTTCTGAATATTATAGAGCATTTCCATTATTTCTTTCTGAATTTTTTATGGATATGATTTATAAAATTTTTAAAAAAAAAGCAGTTAGTAATTTTCAAAAAAAGCATCAAAAAATACTAATAAAACAAATACCCAAATTAAAAATTCTTAAAATTGTTACCTTTTTTATATCAGATTTAATTAGAATGACTTTTCCTTCAGGTAGAATATGATTAACAGATATTTTAGCTAGTCTAGGACGCAAACTAAAATTAATTACACAGTTACATCAACTTTTAACAATTTAGAATATTAATAATCACACTGAACGTCATGAATGAATTCAAGAAAAAATATGAATGAATAATGTTATACTAAAGTAACGTTTAATTAAAGGATTAAATATGTGAAATTTGATTATAATTGATAATATAGACTTCAAACAAAAATCTTTTGCTTTTAGTAATATATATAATGTAATTTAGGGTAATTCTTATGTAACCTTATGAATGGCTTTTCAATCAAATATGATAACTTTTGAAAATGAACAAGAAATTAGTTTAGATAAAAATACTCATCTTTTTGGTATGAATTCAGAAATACAGTATGCTCTTGATGTATTTCAAAAAATTCTTGAAAAATTGTTAGATATAAAAAGTAATGATGCTGGTCAGTTAATATATAACAAAATTTTGATGCAAAATAATAAAAAAAGAATTATTACCTGAGTTTGAATATGATTACTGAGGACCTTCACCACATATAATTATTTTAGAATCAGAAGAAAATCCAAATTCTGATGATTCTATTTTAAAAGTCGCAAAAATGTATATAGATGATTTTAAATTAAATGAGAAGAAATACTTTGATATTGTTGCATACGAAGCTATTTTTCGATGTTTGATAAAAGCTAGAGTTCAATGGCCTTATTTACGATCATTATTAGGATAATGGCATATCTCTAAAAACTTTTGTTCTGTTTTGCTTGTATTATTTTCTAGTTATAGATTATTAAATCTTACTCATTGATTGGATATACATTTTTTGAATAAACTAGAATCTGCTATTAACTATTGATTAACTGCTTGTGTTTTGGATTTTTTATAGGTAGCAGTAGGAATTGCAATCAACATCTATATAAAAAAAAATATTCAAATAAATCAAATAATGAATAGAAATAAGATTCTCTTATTTTTTTTAAAAGTATAATACTTATATTATCATTAGGCTGAAATTTGAAAAGCTCATCATATTGGAATGTGAATCAGCAATCATAATTTATAGCGTGATACTTTCGCTGCTATTGCTTCTCTTTTTCCAAGTGCTAACAAATCTAATTATACAATCACCATTATATAATATTTGTATTTTTTGAAAAAATTTTCAATTTTAAATGAAAAACTATGCCATGTTAGTTTATTTAAAATATCTAACTCTCATACTGAAGATAAAAATTCAATATATATATATTTCAGCTTTGATGAAGCTCTAGAAACATTTGGAATGTGCTTCATTAAACAAAATATTATTGGTAATATAATTAATAATACAACTCTTAAGAAAAATATTAAAATTGCATAAGCTGAAAGAGAAGGAATTGATTTATTATTGAGTGAATATTTAGAGAATACTACAATTTCACAAAGTTCTTAGGCTATTGATGCACATAAAGGATTATTTTGAACATTAGCAGAGGATTTGGTAGCTATTTTTGATATGAAGGATCCTTTATCTCATCCAATTTTTCATGAAATAAAACCACCTGAATTAAATAAAACAGAATGTGAAAAGTTAATTTCATATTATGAAGATAAATTAGTATGAATACAAGCAATTTTTCATCAAGAAGTTCTACAAAATGAAATAAAAAATACTATTGAGTAATGAGCATTAGGAGTTCATAAAATAAAATACAAAGATTATCTTACTTAAAATAAAATGGATAAAGAAAAAAATGCAAATATAAAAAATTTGAAGAAAGTAATATAAATCAATTATAACAAGATACCACTAATTTATTCCAAAATCAACAGAATCAACCAGTTAAAAAAAGAAAGACTCTTTCTCATGAAAAAGAAGTTTTAGAAAGATTACTTATTTATAAGATCAAAATTTCTGATCAAGCATGTCAAGAAATTGAACAGCTATTAGGAATAAAATGGAATAGAAAAAAGATTTATGGCTAGTAGAATTATCATATTAAAAAATCTGATTAGAAAATCACTTTTCTATTATATATTCTATTATAAAAGTAAAATGATATGTTTAATTAATAAATTTATAATAAAACTATTAAAACACAAAATTAAATAATATATAATTTACAATTTCTTAAGAACTATTGTATAAATATACTTTTTTATTTATGAAAGTTAATAAAAATAATAAAGAAACAGGTACCTGTGTTGTAATTTTAAACATTTTTATATATTTAACTATTCAATTGTAAACATAAATATGAAAATATGCTAAGCTTTTAAAATATAATCTCTCTTTGTAAAAAGATTTAGTTTTGAAAAAATTTATAAAAATATATAGAACAGAAGTTAAAAATTAATATTTGTTTATGAGTTGAATAAGTGTATTGAAGTTTAATTATGTTAGTTTATAAAAGAACCTTCATTATATTTATATTACACAAAATTTTTAATTAGAGATTGACAACTCTTATAACATTTCTACTGATTGATATCCTTTTAATTTATATAATAATATATATAAAAATAAATAAAAATTAATTAGTAATACTTACATTAGATTAAAGTTTTTGCTAATTGATAAATCAAGAGGTTGCAACTTAGATGTTAATCTACTAAGGATTACTATTATATTAGTTGCTTTTTCATATAATTTTTATTTAATAAAGTCAACTAAATAATTATAAAAAGAATCTAAGACAAGAAGTGAGTTGGGATTTGAAAAGTCAACAGTTCTTTTAGACTAGATATTTTCTACTTATCACATCATTTTATTTTCCAACCTTTTGCATTTACCCTTACAAATATACCACTAGGAAATATTTCTCTAGATATATTTTTTAATTTAAAAATAATAATAGGTATCAATTTTGATCCATCAGCCATACAATCCAAAATAATTGTAAATATGCTTCTCTTATGTTCAGTAGTTTTAATACTAATAATATTAGAATTATATTTTTCTAAAGTATATAAATTAGATAAATCAAAAGTTACAGGTATTTTATTTATATTTCCAATAAATTGAAGTATTATATTCTTTTATAAAGAATAAAACTCAAAAACTTTACTATTTTTCAAGTAAGTCTTCTGGTAGATGTTGAAATACTATTATTCTTTGACGATTTGAAAGATCATAATGGCTCATAAAATAGTTCATCCATTTATTTGAAAATTTAAAAAAAGAAATATTAGGATATTTTTTTGATATTTATTAGTTTATATAAGTTTTTAGCTTTTTTTATTGTTATATTTCTAGTAATTAGAAAACTTTGTTCTTAACATTTTAAAATCCAATTTGCTAACTCATTTTTTAAATCAAAAAAAATGGTTGTCTATTTCTGTATAATTTTAATAAATGAGATGCAAAGGTTTTAAGCTGATTTTTTTTCTTCCTCCAATTACAAACTTGATTTGGCTGTAAATTAAAATATCTTGCAGTAGCATGAATACTATTTGAATCATTTAAAAAATGTAAGACCATTAACTTTTCATAAACTGATTAATTTCTTTTTATTAAATATAAATCTAAAATATTTAATACTTTTATTTACTCTAACCATTCTTAATAGTAAAACATGATATGAAAAAGTAAAATGCATTACAAAAAATGAAACACAATAATACCAAAAACTATATATATTTATGATTTACATACAGTTAACTTTTGATATAGCGAACTCTTAATATAATGAATTTTTGAACAAATATAATAAAAATACTCTTGTTATAGCGAATTGGCCAATCAAATCTCTTAAAATCTTCACTATAGCCTTATAGCAAAGTTGAGGTCTAGGATATAGAGTTTATTATAACAAAAGTTAATTGTAATCTGATTAAACCACCCTTCTCCTTATAATTACCCTTTGATCAAACCACCCAGGTATTTTGTAAATTCATAGGTAAATTTATAAAATACCTAAGGTGGTTTAGTCAGTACTCTATAGTATGTCTTCGTAATTTATTAATTAAATTAATATAGTCTTGCTAGTTATCATAAAATTTATTGCTTTTCTTTTGGTATAAATTTCATTCAGGAATAGGTATATCAAATCTTAAATTTATTATGATAATGAGATTATTGAGATATTGAACAATTTTATTCATTATATTTTCATTCTCTTTCAACTGCTTCTATTCTATAATAAATACATTTTTTCTTTTTTTGATTACATATATATGAATACTATTATGATGTTATCATTTAAATTTATATCACTAATCCTTTAAATTATACTAATATTATTGAAGAATATTTTAAATTGCTTATTAAAGAAGCAGTTAGCAATATGAGAATTATTAATTATATTTTGATAATAATTTTCAGCTGAATTTTCAGAATTTTTACTAAATAGTATGAATGGTATAAGCTTATAAAGCTCAGGTTGATTACACTAAATATAAAGAAGATTAAGCCTTATGATCCTATTTGTTTAATCATATTAGTAAGTTTATAATAATAAGAATTTCAGAATTGCTAAAAACACATAATCCTTTACCATAACACATAATTTTATCAGTAATGTAATGATCTCCTGAAGAAATTCTTTCTTAAATATCTGTAATAATGATCTGATTGTCTGTGTAATATATATTTTCTTCTTATAATATATACTATCATATTTAAGAATTCGAGCATGACATGCAAATTTCTATTTTTATACAAAAATAGATATTTAGAGTATTTAGCAGGTTTGACTTTTCAAATACATGCTGCTTATAAATCTACATTTCCAGATAGATATAAAATTGAAAATACATATATGATATATTCTAGTATCTGAAACTCATTAATAGAATTATTACTAATTTGAACTATATAATAGAATTGTTTCTGTTCTAAATACAATTAAAAGTATTTTAATAATAATATCTCTTAATGAACTAAAAGAAGAAGTAAAACAAAAGTGTATGTAATTACTTCATTTTTATTTTCATAAATTAATTTTTTAGCATTCATTTGAGTGTCTTGAAGCTTGATCATCAATTGAATTACTAATTGATAAATATAGAAAACTTTATAATCAATATTTATATCAGTATAGTAATACTTATTCTTTTTCAACCAATTTAATACAAGAATCACCTTAGCACAATGAACTTTAAAGTCTCTGAATATCTTTAAGTTAATTGCAGATTAATGATATATAATAAGCATATTTACATTGATAGATATCAAAGAAGATTTATGATAAGTTCCTGAACATCTTGCAGAAAATTGATTATGTTTCCATAATATCAGTATTATCTTCTGTGAAGTTTATAAACTAATATCACAGGAAACCTTATGCAATCATCATTTCTTTAATTTCTATAAGATCTTGAAGTTCATCAGGAACTTCATTTAAGTTCATATTATTCTCTGTTAAGAACTTTTTCAAAGACACATTCTTAGTATGATAATATTGATATTTAACTTTTTTAAGTTATATAAATAAGAACATGTAAAAACATATTTGAATTTATTAACTTTTCACAAAATTTCTTTAAAAAATCTTGTTTATACAGTCAACTCTTGTTATAACGAACTCTATGTCCTAGACCTCAACTTCGCTATAAGGCTATAGTGAAGATTTTAAGAGATTTTATTGGTCAATTCGCTATAACAAGAGTATTTTTATTATATTTATTCAAAAAATTCGTTATATCAAGAGTTCGTTATATCAAGAGTTGACTATATTCACTTAATTCACCAGTAGAAGATAGCTTATTACATGTATCTGTATCATAATTACCTTGATTAACCTTTTGCTATAGTTGTTATTCTTATGAATTTGAACTTTCAATTATTTTATTTTGGTTTTGATTAAGATTTTTCAGATAGTTACTTAAATTATTTAGATGTTTTTCACATTGTTCAACTATTTTTATTGCTAAATTTACACATTTTGTTCTTTATTATATACAAGACATACCTCATGTTCTTCAGCATTTTCTCTCTCTCTCTTCATTATTTATATTCATGGTTCTTTGCAAAGTAAGTTTCATATTTGCTTGATGTTTTATTCTCTTTAATAATACACTTTTAAAAAATGTCATGACTTGTAAATTTATAATCCATTATACTATATATACTAAAGAGAATTTCTATTAGTGCTGTTAATTAAATATCAAACAATGCAATCAGCATATTAAATTACTGCATTTATTTTTCAGTGTTACATTTTAGATAGTATTATCATGTTAATTATGCTTAATGGTTATTTGATCATAACACTAATATTATATTATTTTTAAAAAAAAAATATATTTATTTTAGGGTCTTTATTTTCTACGCACCTGCACAAATGTATGGTATGTTATATAAGAGGTGACAAATAAAATTTTTCTATAAAAAAAAATTCAAGTCCCCAGAATAAACATTAAAAATGAAACACATAGGGGTGTGATGCGTTGTGATAAATAACCCCTAACCCTAATCCTAATCCTAACCCTAACTCCGCTTCAACATATATAAATATAGGGGGTAGCATTTTGTGCAAGGTACGCAAAATACAAATTCTCTTTATTTTATTATTTATATTATTGCTTAAAAATATAATATATATTTAATACAATTCTTAATTAATTGTCTATAAATTCGCTCCGGACTCGTAAACGGTTTCCATTTCCTAGTTTAATATAACTAATATACTTTCGGATTTTATTATATTTATGAATATTTTTTAAATAATCATAGTAAACTGTTATTTCAAATAAAAAAAAAAAAAGATGTAATGATCGTTTCTAATAAATTAATGATTAAATACAAGTTATTGATTATTATGATTGTAATTAATAAAGATTCAAATATTTGTAAATTCTTTTAAAGTATAAAGCAGCGAATATATGTAAATTAATTAGTAAATTACGAAATTTGCTAATTAATTAATATCTAATATCTTCTTTAATTTAATCATTAATTGCCATTCTTCTTTACTTAAATCATTTCTAAATGATTCTTTCAAAATATTGATTGAAACGCGTGAAATCTAAGATAAATCACATATTAATAAACGGCATTGAAACTTAAATACATATCAAGTAAATAACGATGTATTACCTTACTGTATATTTCATCTGTTTCTACAAAATGTCTCCCAATCATTTTTGGATTATCATAAATAGCACATTCGATTTTGATAGCAATACCACCACCAGCTTGGCCTTTTTTCACAATTTCAACTGCTTTATGATTTTGTTCCATACTGGACACTTTGCCAAGGCTAATAATTTCACGTAGCTATAATTGGAATTGAAATTATAAAGTTAGTTATGAAGATCATGCAAAAAGATTGATTGGTAAATCATTATTTACATTAGTTGTAGGGTCCGTTTTAACAACGCATAAAGGTGTTCCGGTTCGCAAAACACCTTCAACAACATCTACACCAATTATAATAGGATCTCTCTTATTAAATATAGCGCCGGGGACAATTTTTAAAATGCAGGGAAATATTGCTTGAGGAGCTTGGTCTTTACGTTTCTGCTCCGAAATTTCCTATTAACAAAAATCAAAGGTATTTAATCATCAATCAATATATACAAATATTAATGAAATATTAATGAACATTTACCTTATGATAAGCAGTAAATTGGTCAAACAAATGATAAATAATGTCGGCCTTAAATATCTTAATACCTAACTCTTCAGCTAAGTCTTGTGCTTCTTTATCTACTTTGACATCGAAACATAAAGTGACCGCATACCTGTAAATTATAAATAAAATAGAGATTAATTTATTTTTAACATATAATGAAGATATATATTGAAAATATGATTCGCAAAATGCTTACTCTTTAGCTTTTTCCAACATAGTGGCACATCGCATAATATCTTTCTTGTGTACTGGTCCAATATTAATTCCAGATACAGGAATTTTGGATGTTTTCAAGAATTCTAAGAGAGCTTCTAAAGAACCTAAAGTAGAAGCTTGCACGCATACACCTTTACCAGATTTATCAATTGAACTCATCAAGCTCTTTAAGTCAGACATAATCTCGTCTTTAAGATCATCTTCGTCATCATCTGGTCCAACAACCATTAGGCGTGAACCAGCGATTGCCTTTTCAAGATCTTGCGCCGAAATCTTAACACCAAGAGCAGCTTTCACAGTTTTATTATGAACATAAGCGGATTTGATTCGAAGTTCCCTCAATGGCTGTGGTGTTAATAAAGCACGGATTGTTGTAACTATGGGTCCATTAAGACCACATAAAACAATCTTATCACCTTCATTTAAAACACCATTAGATAAAATTACATCAATAGTTGTGCCAAGACCTTCAATAACTTTGACTTCCAACACAGTACACTCCAATTCTGACAAGTACATTAGCTCATTGCTCATCCTTGATTGCGTTAAATTAATAAGTAACATGAGCATATCAGGAATACCTTCTCCAGTGATTGCTGAAGTAGGAACAAGAGAAACGTTTTTGGCATAATTCTTGTTTTCATAGTACAAAACAGAATTGAGTCCCTGATATAACATAAAGAAAATTTTCTAAGAAACCGTTGCAACAAAAAATTGGTTATGCTTAGATATAGAGTTTCTACCTGTTCAGCAAAAGCCAAGATAGTTTTCTCAACACGATCTTTGAATTCACGTTGAACAGCTGCCGATTGTTTAGAAAAAGAATCAAGGAAAGAATTATCTCGTGTAGGCTTCCAATCATACATACGATCAATCTGATTTAAAGAAAATTATTTTTATTTTTGAGCATGTAATTTAGAGAATATACAAGTCCTAACCTTATTTAATGCTACTATGAAAGGAGCTTTACGATCCCGTAGTAATTTTAACGATTCCAAGGTTTGTGGCTCTAAACCATGCTGATGATCAAAAATATTCGATGAGTATATATTAAATAATCCTATATAAAATATAAATACAATTTTTACCATAATATCAACCACAAGAATAGCTATATTACATAACGAGGAACCTCTAGAACGCAAATTTGTGAATGATTCATGACCGGGTGTGTCAATAATTAACAAACCCGGAAGTTTATATTCTTGTTTGCCATCCTGAAAAAGTGGTAAAAAAATTTAATCAGTTAAAATTATTTTTTCTTTTCCAAAATTTTAATGGACACTAAATCTTATTCAATTAAAGTCATTATATAATTAACCTTGTTTAAAGGAGCTGTTTTAATTTTGATAGTTTCCATAGGAAAGTAAGTCGCACCAATTTGTTGTGTGATACCACCGGCTTCACCCTCTTGAACGTTCGTTTGTCGGATTTTATCCAACAATTTTGTCTATATAAATTTTAAGGATAAGAAAGTAATATGTGTCAAAAAAAAAAAAATATATCTTAAAAAATTTTCTTAGATACCTACATTATGCGTTACCGTAAAGTCACTTAGCAAGAAGCGATGATTTCCATCAACTACGAAACCAAAATATTCACCAATGCCAAATTCTTCAACTTTAAATTCCCAAAGCTGATCGTGTCCATAATCTTTAGAGTCTATTATACAATTAGATCGAGGAAAAACTGAAGGAATTATATAAGCGTTATTTATAACGCAAGCATTCTGAGACTTAACAATGTTGACTCGTAATCCACAAGAGCGGGCGAGCTTAGCAAAGTTTTGGGTATTGTAATCATTAATGAATGTCAATTCAATAACATCCTGAGAATGACATGATCCTTTACTATCAATAATTCCGGCTATCAATTGAAGACGAACTGAATCAACGTCTTCATACATCAAAACCTCTGGAATATCTTTCCTTCGTAAGATACCAAGTTCGCCAAACAAAGAAGCCAAAGTTTCTTGATTAATAATCTTATTCTTAATATACAATAAAATTTCTTGATAAAACATCGAAATATCATCATAACTATTACTACGTTTACATTTAGCTTGTTTTGTACCTATCCAATAACCAATTAACCAAGCACAGGATCTAACAAAGTCATCGGTTATAGATGACCCAATAACTCGTTCAATTATCTTTGCAAATGCTCCTTCCCGAGTTGAAAAACGAACACTATTTGGTATGAACATTTTGGCAGCAGCTCGAATTTCTGGAGAACAATTTAAGAATTGCGTAACAGAAGGTTGCCAGATGAAATCCACAAGAACAATTTCCAAGTCTGCATTACTAATAGTTGAATTTTTATTGAAGTTTAACAACTCTAAATCCTTATAGGCAGTTCTTTCTGCATGATATTTGGTCGGAAATAGAATTGTCGGATATCTGTAAAACTTATCAGTTTTTTTAACCAAATTTGTGCTCTTATCATAAGTTAAATAATTAAGACAAAATTGATTTTGATCATCTCTTTCTACATGTTGTATCCGTGGCAATGACGTAATTTTAAGAACAAGAATATGTGCATCGTTACACACAAATGGTTGAGCGGAAGAAATGTTTGTTGGGATAATCTTGTAAAGAAGTCCTTTCCCATTTGTAACTCCGCTAACATTTCGAGGTGTACTATCGTCACCCATTACTTGTTCCCCTGATCGAATTGTTTCAACAGCACGAACACTACCATCATACATCAAAATAGGAGTGCCTTTTCCTAAACATTTGCCAGTGTCAACGTGCCCCAAGATACAACAAATTGGAGAACGAAGATTATCTTTGCTTCGGGCGGCAAGAGCCTCTTCGTGACGTTGTTTACGACGTTCAGCAGCCTCTTGTTTACGTTTCATCAATTGCTTTTTATGTTCAGTTAATTCTTCATCACTTTCTGTTGCATCTTCGCTGCCTTCCATTTCAGTGTCTTCAGATTCTTCGGTTTCCGCATCGGATTGCTCTTTTACAGATTTCTTAACAGGAGATTTAACCTTAATTGCTGTTTCCTCAACTTTATTAACCGGAGTCGGTGGAGGTGTATTGGGTTTTGGAATTGGAGTTGGAGATTCATCTTCAGTACTTTGATCCCATTGTTCTTTAACATTTTCTTCGACTTTATTATTAATTTCCTCATCTTCACTCTCTTCCCAACTTTCTTTAACTTCTACATGAGATGCCTTTGTGGCAATTTCTACCTTTTCTTCTTCCGGTTCTTGTTGTTCCCGGCTTTCCTTTTCTATTTCTGCAAAAATGAAATAATTTAGCATAATGAATATAATGTCTCAAATATCATGTGATAGTTAACTCAAACAAACCTCCTTTAGTTTCTACTTTCTCATTCAACACAAGCTCAATAGAATCTCCCACGTTGCTAGATGGTTCAGCTTCAATTTGTGGTGCTCGTTGTTTATTTGGCTGTTTCCTTTTATTAGTATATACAACCTTCCTTGGTTTCGGTTCACCTTCTTGACTAAGGCCTTCGATCTTGAGACCAGCTTCCATCATTTGTTGTAATCGTAACTGATCTTGCTGTTTCTTCTTTATCTGAGCTTTGCTCAACAATTTCCCCTCTTTTTTTAACTGTTCTTTTTTTGCCTATTTGAAAGATATTAAGATGACAAAATAAATTAAAATATTATGCATAATCGTTATAATTGTTGTGGTAAAAGAGGATGTGCTTTGAATACTTGCCTTTTCTTTTTCTTTTTTTCTTTTCTTGGCTTCTTCTTTTAGACGCTCTTCTTCCTCTATACGTTTACGCTCCTCTATAGTAATCATGATCATAAAACTGCGTTAGTACTACTACGGTCTATATCTCAACAAGATTAAAATCATTTTAATACCTTCAAGTTTCCTTTGCTGTTCTTCTTCCTCTTTCTTTCTCGCTTCTTCTTCAGCGCTAAAACAAAATTGAATCATGTTAACGAATTAGTTAGTGATCAGGTAATTAAAATGCCTGATTTAATACTAACCGTTGGGCTTCCAAAGCTTTCCTAATTGCGGCCAACTGAGCGTTCTTTTTACCGGCAGGTTTCTTTTCTTCTTCCGGTTTCTTCTTCTTTTTCTTCTTTTTACTCTTTGATTTTGTATCATCATCTTCTTCTTCCTCTTCAGGTAGTAATTCAGGTGGTGATGCTGATTTAATTTCAGTTTGCACTTCTTTAATGTCTTCTTTATTCTCTACCTCAACAATTTTTTGAGTTGCAGCCTGAGCTTTTTTCTTATCTGCTTCAGCCTTCCTCTTTTCTTTTTCTTTCTGCTTTTTTAACTTTTCCTTTTCCTTTTTACTTAATATTCTTACTACTCCATCATCATCATTTTGTTTTTCCTTCTCTATAGATGTTTCTTTTGCATCCTTTTCAACTTCATTGTTCTTTCCATCCTTTTTTTTTTTACCTTTATTAGTCGACGCGCCAAATTCTTCATCGACCCAATCATCAGGTTGGACCGCTTGAACTTCAGTCAAAACGACAGGGATTCTATCTGAAGGAGATTCTTCTTCCGTTATTTGCGAATCAGCATAATCATCATCCATTACAACATTTTTTCTTTTTTTTTTCTTGTCTTTTTTCGACACTTTAGATATCTGCGCCATTAATCCTCCAAATTCATCGTCTTCAACTACAGGTGTTTGTTCTTGTTCAATTATATTAACTTTGACGTCTTCATTAGCAGGCTCCCGTAAAAGCTTTGGCTTGGCTTGCTCTTCCCTGAAGAATGTAAAATATATTATTAAATCAACGGTGCAACTTCGATATAAATTTGTAATAAAAAATTTATATCGCGTTATCTCATACAAACCAATCTTCTTCAACTTTCTTTTTCCCCTTCTTGTCCTTTTTACCCATTTTTAATTTTTAAAAAGGTTTTGAACCGTAAGTAAATTTCGGCAAATCAAGACTGGAAGAACAAAAGACCGTAAGTTCAAATTCGTGTTTGTTTGATCCAAAAAAAAAAATTTAGATGTAACTGCGGAATATTATTTATTATGTATTTGTATTCAGGGCAGATCGTCACTTGTTATTGGGTACAAATAACCAAATCAACAGCTGTTACTTTTCGAATTTATACTAAAACAAGCAATAAAGAGGCTCCAACGTTAATTTTTATTGTAAACTAGATCAAGTATTTAACCACTTTATAATTTGTATTGTCCTTTTTCCCAAGACGTTTTTTTTTTTTTTCCCCACCGATGTCGAACATGGCTAACCTAAATCCCCCGGCGTACGGGGGAGGTATCACTGGTTTGGTTGGTATGCCAAATAACTCTAGAGTTTTAGCCCCGATGCACCACTTGGCAATGGGACAGACACCACCACCTTCACTTAACCCTGCTATGACAACTTTTGGTCTTGGGTTTCCAACTATGGTCGCTGCAAACCATATGAATAACCAAAGACAAATGCAAATGTCAATGAGTCAAACTCCCTCACCTCCGATCCCGTAAGTATATATTATTTTGCAAAATTTAAAATCAGCTTTTTTTTTGTGTGTAACTTACGTTTCCATTTTTTTTCCTTTTGTGTGTTAGTCGGAACTCTGTCTACCTTCAGAGGTGAGTTCTTAAATTTTATATTATTTAATAATTTAGCTCATAACATATTATGGATTTGAATCATTGTATAGGACTTCGGAAATTAATGAGACTCTACATTTTTCTTTATCCATAACCTAACTAAAAAAACTACAACAATAATAGGCCAAATGGAATCAATGGAAGAGGCATTCTAAGAGTGCTTTTGTTTAGTGAATATTTAAATTGCGAAGTAATTAGCTTAACATGGTTTAATACAATATTGTTCTATACGCTATTAATGCCAAATTAATTATAATTTTCTGTTTATTTGTAGAATGCACAAAAAAACAAGGACATAAGTCATTGGAAATTAATGGTATCAAATTTCTTTTCAGAGGATGGAGTAATTATATATGGGTTATGGGATCGTTTATCTGGAGCAAATAGAGTTTTCGGTCAGAATTATAATTAATTTTGCTTAATCCGTTCATTTCTTTTAAAAATTTAATATTCATCACTATTTATTATTTTTTTAATAAAGAAATACCAAATCCTGTAATTTCAAGATTCTTCCAAGTGAATTATGAATCAGGAGTCACTTCAATACAATTAACATTGAATAACCTAAAAGAAAGCCTGGGTCCTCCCATTAATAGTTACGCAACTAATATTACAGTTGATGCAAAAGCATCAATGATATATAATTATGAAGATGGATCAAGGGTATAATAAAATTATTTTTACTCATTAGATTCCGATTTATTATGTTATTAATAACATGTTATGACTTTATTTGTCAGGTTGTAGCTTCAGGAAAACTAAAGGTTAGACTAAGTAGTAATTTAAGCAATAGTTTAAGCATAGACTGTTTTGAATTTATTACAGAAAAGCACATGGAATTTGTGCCTCGACATCAACCTACTTCCCCTGATAGTCCTATTAGTTCACTTGGTATAACATTAAAGACGTTAAGATGCTTGGAGGTATATTTTATTTCATAATATATATGTATATTTTTTTAAAAAAAATTATGTATATACCGAGAATAATTTGGGTTTAATATTAATTTTATAATAGTTAACGGAAAGTGTTGTAGCATTACACGAATTAATAGAAAAGTGTATATCTTCAAATAAAGGTCCGCGTCGTAAGTAATCTAGTAATTTTTATTATCTAAATTTTTTTTTTATTTAATAAATAAATGACGACAATTTTTCAATATATGCTAGAAACATTGTATGCCTTAACAAATCCTGAACAGCAATCGCAGACAATTATAAATCCACCGAATCACACCCCTCCAACACCAGGTCCATCACCACCTGAACCTACTGCCAAAACGCCAAAAGAAAAAAACGACAATACAAATACAGAAAATATACAACAACAATCTAATAATACTGATGTACCAACACCATCGCCATCAACATCAAATACTAATATAAAAACCGATTCACCAACATCAAAGTCTGTTAAGTCTCCTTTACTTAACAGTAAGTAGTATTATTTCTTAAATATTTTATATAGAATTCATATTGATTAATATTTGTTTTACAGATAAAAGGCCAGGTGAAACTACACCTAAACCAAAGAAAAAACGAACATTACAAAGAAAAAATAGTCGGCAGGAACCAGGTTTATGAATCGAGAGTGTTGGGATAATATTTTGTATTTCTATAATTTAACTCATATATTTTTTTTTTTAAATTATATATTTTTTTAAACATTCTTTAAACAATTCTTTTTGCATCTAAACTGTATTTAGTATTATCCTTGTACTACCAAATTATATTTGTTTTGATATATATATATATTTGATCTTTTTTTTTTTAAAAAATATATATATTAAATCAAAAAAAAAGCCACTTTTCTATCGAATTATTTATAAAGGTTATAACTTTTATTATTGTTATTATTATTATTATTGAATATTTTTGGAATAGAGTATTTTTTTTTTTTTCTTTTAATCACTTGGTACGTGATAAATAAAGAGGTGTGTTTGTGGTATGTCTGTATGTGGATTCAATTTATTGTGTCATTATATCAATAGCATTAGTACAAATTGTATATAAGATATAACTGTATATCTAAATGATTATCTATAATATTTATTAATTTCTTAATTTTAATTTAGTAATAAATTTGATTTTAAATATATAATTAATATAATACTTTTTTTTTTTTTATTTTATCATTAATTTTATATTCTTAAATAAGAGTTAATATTTAAATTTTATTAAAATTTAATTTTTTAATATTTTGATATTTATATTTTATCTATAAAAAAAATGAAAAAAATAGAGATTTTAAATTTAAATTAAATGTTTATTTTATATTATTACTTTTATTTTATTAAAATTAAAAAAAAATATTAATATAATAATTTATAAAAAAAAAATAAATACAACTTTCAATTTTTTAACTTTATAAGTTTATAATTTAATAATTATAATACTAAAAAAATAAATTTTAAACTTTATATCTTAAAGAATATTTTATAAAATTTTAATATCTAAAAATAAATATAAATTAATAATTTATATTATAATTTTTTATTTAAAATATTTTAAACATCATTTTTAATATAATTAATTAATTATGATTAAGATAATATTTATATATTATTCTTTAAATTATCTAGTAGAAAAATTTGCTTACAATTTTAAAAAAAGTAATTTTTTAATAAAATATTAAGAAATTTCTAAGATTAAATAGAATGTATTTACCTGAATTACGTAATAAATATGTTTGTTATTAGTAAAAAACTTTCCCTTTCTCTTCAAATCAAAAAAAAAGGAAAAAACTAAAATATTTTACAAAATAATAACCACAATTTATGAAGTTAATAAATAAGTCAACCTGGCTTTCTAAACAATAATAAAAATAACAACCAAAGAGAAAATTATAAATATTTTGTCTAAATCTGCTAATAAAGTTACAACTGATCTGTCAAAAATTTTAACAATTACTACAATTTTTTCAGCTAGTAACATAAAAATAGACTAACAAATCAATCCTATCCTTTCTGAAATGGTTGAATATAACACTTCTATAATGTTTTCAAAAATAATAATCCAAGAAGTATTAACTTCATCTCTTATCACTGGTAATTTATTAATCAAAATATTAAAAGATAATGAAATGTTAGTCAACAGCAATAATATAAATGAAGACCAGACCTTTGATACTTCTGAAAATATGTTGAATGACAAAAATATCAATAAGAATATTATCACTTTTGATAGAGTATAAGATGTAACTACCTTTACGTTTACTACATTGTAGAAAGAAACCTTTCTTCCTAATAAATCTTTTTGTGAAAAAACTAATAAAGCTTGTAAATTATTCAACAGCGTCAATTACTTCTTATTCATTAGTGTATTAGTAAAACAGGATCTTACAAACAAAATATTAAAAATTATCTGAATAGAATTTACTACATATAAGAATATAAATTGCAAAATAACTACTAAAATTCCTAATATAAATACAATTATATTTAAATCTTTTACTCTACCTTCCTCTTTTAAGTTTGACTTAAGTTTATCAATCAAGGTTACAGTAATTCTTATTTCTATATCAGAACAAATTATTAGATCAATATTTGTCTGATTTGGTTTAATTATTAAATGTTTAATGCTGATCAAGAATCTTTGGTAACAAATGACTATATTATATACATCTAGAATAGATCTATCATATTTCAGCACTAACGTAAGCTTATTTGTCTTTAAAAATATGGTTAAAGTATATGTTTATTTTCTATTTCCAGAAGAAATAAGATTTTGCTATTAAAATTAACAAATTTTTCTAAAGACACCATGGGTTAGAAACTTGAACTAATTAGAAAAATTATTAATATAGTAACTTGAATTATTTTTAAAGCCGTTCAAATTATAGAAATCTACAATACGTGTACTTCTGTATTAAAGAAGATCTTGAAGCTGCAAAAAACAATGATCTAATTAAATTGAATAATAATGATTAATCTAGACAGTGCTAGATACTAACTTATATGCTTACTATTCTATTTCTAAATATGACTCTTGTAACTATAGAAAAAATACCTAATCCTAAAGATAGATAAATATAGAATCTCTACAGTGTGTAAAATTCATGTACACAATATGCACATGTGCATATTAAATTTTTGTATGCACATATTACACAGCATAAAATGTGCACAAATAATTACTAAAATAGATAAATTATATATAAAAATGGATAAATTA